TTGTCAAGGTAACTGTTGTAGGCGTGGTAGAACATGGATTTGATGCGCTGTCTGAGAGATGGAGTTTGTTACATTACGGACGGGACAATTTATCAAAGCATTCAAATTTAGATGAAACTAATTCAGTAAAAATTGGATTCTGCAATTTGTGAAAAACGTTAAACATCCAAGTACACAAATATTTCAACATATATTAGAATCAAAATGGAAACGCTCTGAAGCCAGATCAACTTTTTTAACGGGATTTCGGAAAAGCAAGCGAAGCAAACCACTGAACAGTTAATGTTCAACGTTTTTCAAAATAAAAGCTTCTCACATTACTGACACAGGCAGACAAACAGGCAAACAAACGAGAGCAGGTCGAGCTGTACACGAATCGCTGTTTAAGGTTGTTTAGGACCAGCGTTCATACTTTACATAATAATAATAATAATAATAATAATGGATTGGATTTATATAGCGCTTTTCAAGCACCCAAAGCGCTTTACAATGCCACTATTCATTCACTCTCACATTCACACACTATTCATCACCTAAACGAGTCTGTGCGCTTTCATCGACAAATTAAAAACTTTGTGTTTCAGGTGAATTCAAAGCTTTTAAAAACAAACTGATTAACCTGTGAATATGTTGGGACTTCTCTTAATCATCAGTTTGAAACATCTGACAAAATTAAACGCACATGTCGGTCGCTTAAGTCAAACCCTTAAAAGAGGCAGCGTTCAAATTATGATGCAAATGCAGCTGATAGTAGAATGAAATATTTCCACAAACAAAGTGTACAAACATCAAACCCACACCGACTCAGGAACAGAATCAGTCAAACACAAAAAACAAATGAGAGATGATTAAGATGCAAATGAATTTCTGCATCAAGCCAACTGCACTGGCATTTATCTGATATTGTTTTAATGCCACTGCTGCATATCATTAAATTTGGCATCTTTCTTCCACAGTTTGTTTTTTGTCTTGTTTGTGGTCTTGAGTTCTTCCTCCCCACAGTCGCCAGCTGTTGCTCATGGTCTGAGTGTGGTGACTTTGTAAAGAAAATACAATAAAACGACCCAAACATCTGCCCGGACGCATTGCTAAGATGACTGCTGAGTGGAAATACTTGCTTAGATAAAACATACAGTAAAAAAAAACACTTTACAATTATTATTTGATTATTGTGTTGTGGGAGTTTCCCCACTCTCAAACTCACAGTGGGGTCCCAGTCTAGTGTTAGCGTTTGCCCCTTCAGACACACGCACCCACCCTCAGACTCGCTCCAGCTGGCGTGATGAAGGGAGGATGGGTGTCTGCACAAAACTCAACTTTAAACCGAGTCCAGACGGAGCTGGTGT